AATGCTCATGGTGAACGGCTGTGCCTAACTGCAGGCAGGAGTCGAGGAAGATGGATGTGAAAGGGAGGGCGCAAGATTGATGCTTGGTGATTGACTGATTGTGGTGGTAGCAAGTGGTTTGTATAGGCTTTGCTTTGAGAGTGGCACAGACGCGCTTTGTTTACTTGGAACCAAAAGCACAGACCTGGCAGCATCACACCAGGTAACCAGTGTCACCTGGTCACGTGGCTAATGTTGGCACCACCTTAGTCATCTGAAGGAGGAGCACTCCAGGCACAGCAGCTGAGTCAGAGGCTCCTAGCTTATGTAACCAGGTTTCTACCGTTCGTGGCCCGTGCGCCCACCCCGATTGAGTCCAAAGTGGGATCGTGATCCCTCAAACGGTGGTGGATCAATTCAGTCCTATTCAGTCCTCAACTTCTCCGAAGCTGATCACGCTTCATGGCTCCGGTTCCTCGTGACTTGACAGCATGGAAAGCCCAGGTCATTCAGCAGGGCATCGGCAACAAGACACTCGGCGAAATTGAGCCTACATCAGGCTCCAAGATACCCCACAGCGCGTTTCTCCAACTGCGTGCTGTTTGGCTGCCCGACAAGCTCGCCTCGGAAGCGACCAAGAACCTCTATGAGACCGGCCTCATCGGAGACTTCACGGAATTGATCAATAAAGTTGTAACACACGGGTTCAGTCAAGCGGACACGTTTCATAACTTTCTCGACGACATCTGTGGCTCGAGCAACAAAACCCCAGCCTCGCAATCCGATGAATCCCTTGTGAATGCCCCTGCGATCGAGCCGAAGTTCAGTAGCTTCGTCGTACCCTTGGGTCAGTGGAAGCTGCTTAAGCCTGCTGCGCCGGAACGGGTGGTGGCAAGCACGCCGCCTCATAATGCCATCAAAAACAAAGGCGCCCTGCCGCTCGACTATGATAAACCTCCACTCTCGCCTTCATTCTCTAGAGAGCTGGACTTAGGTGTTGTAGACATCACCAGCTTACTCATGTCGCAGCAGCTCGAAACGCCCTCAAAGGTCCGCGTCAAGGAGAGCCCCGCAACGCCGCTTAATGAATCACAAGCAGACGGTGCAAGCGCCACCCCGACTCGTTCGCCTCCTGAATCCCCGGCCTTTTCTTCTGGCGGGGAGAGTGAGGCTGAGCCCATTGCGCAGGTGGCCGGTCGTCCGGAATCATCGTCAACAATATCTCTTCGGAAACCCCGCACAAAGTACGAAGTACAAACGTCCAACTTCTTCTCCAGCTTCTTCTACGCCTTCTTTCCACACTATCTTACCTTCGTGTGGACTCGGTACCTGGAAGTCGTTACCGAGGAAGCCAGTTATCGCTTTGGCGGCAAACACCCGGTTGCCTCTGGCACCGCTCCATCTCCTCCCCCAATCTTTATCGCCCGCACCGACGGGGCCTTCTACGAAGTCGGCGATGACGGTTCTCGGAACAAAAGGGGCTTCCTGCCCTTTGAGTTAAAGCCATATTGTCGGGCTGAAAAGTTGGCCGCCACATGCCGAGAGGAGACGGCTGAGATGGCTGCCATCATCTATGAGGAGTTTGTAATGGACAACCAGCAGTGAGTGCCCGGGGATGCTTTCCGTGGATGGCTGGCCGTGTGCGTTTTCACTAACAGCGAAAAAGTCCACCGTCTGACGAGCATGAAGCCCTCGACAAAACACATCATCGGTTTATGCTTTCGCTGAACCGGGATGAATTCTACATCACGGTCGCAACCTTTACTGGCCATTACATATCGTACATCAGCAGCACTTCCACGCCGTCAAATCCATCGATTCTTGAAGCGAAGCATCTCATCTCCTTCCAGCCTCATGGGCCATTCAGTCTGCTGGTCAGGAATCATATGACAATTTTTAGGGAGATTATGCTTTCCATGGCTATGAAGAAGATCAATCATCGAGGCTCAAAGGGTCAAATAGTGCTTAATGCTTTACAAAGTCGCCGTTGATGGCGTTGTCTGGTGCCCTGAAGGCTTGTGTCATTGCCGAACATTCAATACGCGCCATCGAGAAATGGTTGACTCGGTTGGCAATGAACCTGTTATCTTCTGAGAGACGTGGTAGAGTAGAAGGAAACCTGGAAGCTGGCAGGAAAATGCATACCATACTTACGAATGCACTCCATCAACGACAAGGGGATTCTTTGTGGCAGCGACGCATTTTACTCAGTGTAGATCTCAATTGCAGCTGAACTTGCAACTTTGGTGGAAGGGGCTACTGCTGACCTCGCTTAGCACTCTCACCAAGCTAGTCAATAGGTCGTCGGGTAGATCGACTCTTTGTATGCCGTAAATATCCACGAAAATGAGCTGTTTGAGGTATTTACCCTCTCCGCCCTCGTCTAACGACTTCCAGCGGCTGACTTTTGTTGCCAGGGTTCCCCCCGACTCCGGACTTTCCTACGGGCTACCTTTTCTCAGCGAAGCCTACACTACCACTCTATAAACCAACGAGAAGCCGCACACTGTTCTGAACTAGGGACTGGAGTTACCTGAAAGTATAGAGGCCTTTACGTACAGTTGAACATTTTGGACCTTCTCCCATCGAGCTCATACGAACTTGGCGGGGTCACTTTCCAAGGTTCCATGCTACATACCACATTGAAATCAATTTTTGCCTCAATGTCTGCTCTTGCTTGAAGCTTGCGTCTCTCGTTCGTGAACAGGCGATGCTAGACTTGCAAATACTTTCATACCACGTATCATATAATCCATTGCACAACTGTACATCAACCATAGAAGACGGGGAGAACGAGATAGATGCCTCCAGGTCCTGCAAACCAGGGAAGAGTGCAACATGCGGCATAGTACGATTCGTTATTATGTCTCCTCCAGTGTCCCACTCCGCTGATTCGGCGGCAGTCTTGCCTGACTAGCCGACCGTGCTTGACCTGGCAATCCGGCTTGACCCATACCATCTATCAACCAAGCCAACCAGCCGACACAACTAGCTTTCCCCCGTTCTTTCTCCTCGCGTCTTTTCTCGCCAAGCAGTCTCATCGGCGGGAATTGATCCTGTTTGATCACGCCAGCGGGAAGAATGTCCTGCTTTGGCTGGCTGTGAGGTCCAACGTTCTGAGAGAGTGCGTCAGTGAACGATCGCTTCAGACTGTGTTCGGAGGCAATGCTGTTGCGAGAACTGATACGGTAGGTGGTTGAAGATGGTGCAGGACGTTTTGCCTGTGCCTAGAGGGGGGATGACAGGTTTGTTTAGCTGCCAGAGCCGCACTGATGGAGGAGGTGCCTGGACTCATTGGTCACCTAGACACGGTGCGTGAAGGAGAGCCACGATTCACGTGTTGAATAACGGTGGCTGCTCCAGAGCCTAAATCGTTTTCGTTTGGCCGGAACGAGTCCGACAATAACCTCGGTTGATGGGAGTAATTTCCTCTCATGTCCGATGTGTGTGGGCATTTGCCCGACGCTTGGCGACTGTGGAAATGCCTGATATGGCGTAAATCTTGCGCGAAAGACATTATCCTCAGATTATGGTCAGGTTATTTACAAGATGCATGAGACTTAACCAGCCTCCCCTGCAACGAATCTTCGGACCAAACATCGCTGCTTCCAAATCATTGTGTCCAAGACAAACTCGGCAAAGCTCATCTTTACAACAGCCCGACGCTGCTAATCCCACAGCCGGCTGCTCGTTTACGCCTTGAAAAGATGCCTGCACTAATATCTGCTGCATCTAGATGCCAATACAGGCTAGTATAAGTAGTCTTAAGGCCTTCCTCAGCTTTCTGTCATGACTCTTTCACGGCGTTTGCCCGACGTATCAAAGGTCGACTTGCAACAAATACGCATAATGTCTTGGCAACAAGAACACCCCGTGCTCATGTCTGCCGGTAGAGAGTTGGAAAGCAATGACGTATCGTGATGCGGTTTTGCTGGAGCTGGAGCTTGGGTTGTAAGTCCGTGTGAATGAAAACAGCCATCTCACATCGAGGCGTTGAAGAAAACTGAATTCTTTGTGGCCCATTGGAAATCGCCAGCGTGCTGCATTTGGCGCCGAGTCGTGTGGTTGACGTGTCAAAAGCCACAGAACGGTCATGATCAAATTGAGCTGAAAGCACAGCATACTCCTCGTGCCGAAACCTGCGCTTCCATCAATTGAAATGGCGCGGGAGATATTTCTCCAAGAATTAGATGATGGTGATGAGCCGCCATGAACCCACCAAGACATTGCCTTGTTTCGAAGCCCCTCCGCTTCAGGTTGAAGCTGAACAGTTACATCAGTATACGAGTAAAGTCCGATGACTCACTGAAAACCCACGGCAATCGCATCTCCATGATGACGTTTCCTCCGCTGGCTTGCTTTCCTGCTGTTGTTTTGCCCTCCGTAAGGGGGCGTTTTGTCCACCCTGCAAGAGGGCACAAAATATGACACCTGAACTGGTTTCTCGTGGGTTTTCAAGGCTGTATGCTCGAGGTCGGCGTTTTGCTCCTCATTTCTGATACGGATCGGAATACATTTTCCTGTTGAGGAGTCCTGGCTCAACAAGTCTCCCGGAAAGCTGACAACAAACACTTGCTGGTTATGTCAACACTACGTGAATGAGAGTGAAGGTTCGCGCCCGCGAGATTGACTGCCCTTGAAAGTCTTGCGCGTCAAAAAAGACAGTCGAGAATCCCAGAAAGTCCACACACATACATTTCTCCTCCGTCAAGCTGGGTGCACGACTGAAGGAATGACAATGTTGCACACCCAAAAACGAATAAGTACCGCTGCTCAAGTGCCTCGACGGCCAGCCGACAATTGCCATCGTTCATGACAGATATTTGAAGATTTCTGGCTGGCTGTGCGGCGGGGCAGGATAGGGAATACATACAGTGAAAACGTCAAAAAGAAGACAGTGTCGACGGCGAGTCGCAGCAGCGTTGCGGACAAGGGAGACGCCCATAACAATCACAACAGAAAGCAGATCGAAGATGCTCTGGATCGTCAGAAGAATTGATACATTGCTTCGTGAGGTTGGCCTATCTAGAAGTATGCACCCAGAACCTGCAGTGGCTGTTAGTGTCTACCTCCTGTCCACCGCTTCCCGTGGGCTCCTCCTCTCTCATGTCGAATTCGACCGCGGACTCTGCTTCGACAGTCTTGATGATGGTCTTGACCTCAGCCTCTGCGTTCTTGTCCTCGCTGATGACCTTGTTGACTCCAGCTCCGGTGTGGCAGAGAGCGGGCGTGGGCTCGCCGAGTCGGCCTTCGCCCTGCACTTCCGAGGCAATCTGGTAGGTCTAGGGACAACCGTCTTGGTTAGGCTGGCTGGGCTGGGCGAGCTGCGGGGTTTCCCTCCGCCATGCCGGCGTCAATAGCAAGACGAGCCACACACTGCTATTTCTGTGGTCCATGGTGATGATGGAAAAGACTGCGGAAATGATGTTGAATATTGGATGTTGATGAGAAACACCGTAATCGGTGCTTGACAATCAGGATGGCAACTATCGTTGGTGGCGGACAGCAGCAAACCATGCTGGTCCTTTCGGAACGAGGCACTCGAGAAGAGGTTGTGTCCAATGGGCCGTCTTCAAGTCGAACATGATTGGGTCCAAGAGGTGGGTTTGGTTCGTGTTTTCGCCGTCAGACGCAAGCAGTTTGTCGCCTTGGTACAAGGTAGCCGTGTGGCCTGTGGTTGTGTTATTCGACATGTTCGAAATAGAGGAGGGCCAATTGCAGCGACGTACCCATACGCACACCGGATAGAAATCGTATCTGGAGATGCCGTTAAGAATGCCGGATAGTTTGTATTTGGTGATAAGGATAGGGCGATTTGTGTTGGCGTTGTTGAAGTCTTGTACGGAAAAGAAGTTGGCGGCGTTGGTGCAGAATTGACGTTGGATGATGGCGACGACATGGGAGATGGGAGACGGGGGGACAAGGAATAGCGGGAGACAGACAAGGCAGGTGGGGTTCATGCACCCGGATGAAGTTGACATGGAAGCAGCAACGGCAGGGAACCAAGGTCGGACGGGGCAGGCTCGCCGTCGCTGCCTGCCACTGATCTATGTAAACACACCGTCAAGCACAAGAGGGACCCACGTACGTGCCTTCCATTACATAACCCACCCGCCGGGCAGATGATCTGCCTGCGCGGGGTGGCTGCCTTCCAGCAGAGTACCACTATACCTACCTCTGCAGTTGCTGGCTTGATCCCACGAGTCGGTCCAGTCTGCGGCGGTTTTCTTTGCTGGGAAAAGCCGTTAGGGCAATGCGGCAAGGCATGGTTGCGTGGAGGAGAACAAAAGGCGACCTCGAAGGATCTTCAGAGATGGACGACACTACCTTGAGAGGCGGGTCTTGAGGCACGAGGGCAGCATTCCCATGGGAAATTTCACACAAGCCCCATAAATGGGATCGAGTGGTCTCCAATCATTGGCCGAGTCGTCGGCGCGTGCCTTGCCTTACACCGACCTGCTGAACGGAAGTGAGTACCTTCCTTACCTTGGGTCAGGAAGGTAGAGGACGGGACACCGGTTGGTCACCTTCCCCACCATCAAGGTTCTCAATTGGGAGAAAGACCAACAGGAAGGCACCCAAAAGCGCGGGCTCTTTCCACATGGTGCCTGTACCTTTGTCGCCTCCCAATTCTCGCGGTCGGCTTCCCTCTCGTTCACCATGCGACCTCCCCACCTCTTCCTTTCTGGTGTTCAGACTTCCAACACCCTGGTTGTTGCCAGACCTCCAATGTCGACCGAATCCTTGTCACGGTCACTTTGGCCACAACCAAAGCCAACCAACACAACCTTCCTTGCGATCTCACCACGCAAGCGTCTCTTTCCCTTTCTCCTTCCCCACACAAGTCCCACTCCACCATGATCTGATGGCAGCCCGGATTTGCCTGAAGTGTGGGACTACGGACAAGAAATCTGATGAAGGCAGAAGACAGCCCAAAACAATGATTGACTGCGACGAGAAGGGGAGTGTATGCGAAAACTGCATCCACCGCCGTCGAGGAATGGCCAGCAGTGCGGTGATCTGCACCAAGGATGATGGCTTGCGAAGCCTCAAAGATCAATTGCCTCGTTGCCACGATGGCCTGTCTCCTGATGATGATCCATCTCTCGATCGCGAGTACACGTCCACTCCATCCAGACCACAACGGATGTTCTTCTGCCCGCGAGATCGCTCGGAATTGTGCTTAGAGGCCTTCTTCTCCACCGAAACTCTTGGGGTCTACCCTCCACCTCGGCTTCGATCTCCGGGCCGACCTCCTCCTCTATCGTGATATCGATGTCCACACAATACATTCATCATGCTGCGGGCAACGCCTGGTGTTTGAAACAATTAGCTTATGCTTGCCGCTGGTTTGGAGCTGGACTCGGATGCGGCTGGCCAAAACACACATCGGTCAGCTTTTGGCCTCGCGTGACGCATCAGCAAGACATTTCACAAGCGTTTCAATCGACCATGTCTGCAACCATCCAACCGTCTAACCGTCAGTACTGGCATTGGGGAGTCGGTAGCAGCGATGAGAGCGTCCGTAATGGTCTGCCCAGAGGTCAATTTGTCCCGATGTTGAGATGTCATTTTGCAATACTCAGGTCCTCTCATGGGGGTCTACCGACTCGTCTTGACCTTTGAAAAGTACCAACTTGCGTGCTGGGCGATGCATCCGGGTGCTTCGTCCACATAGATCCAGGTACGGACGCTTGAGAGTCTGCACCACGACAAAGGCAGACATCGAATTATGACCCGGGCTCGTCCCAACGACAGAGGCTGCCCTGTACAAATCAAAACATGAGCCTTGCCATTGGTCCGCATACAATGGCTCAGGTGTTGCCGAGGACGAGACAATATCTCAGGGCTCTACGCATGGAGCTGCACGCCTGTGAGATCTGAGGAGGCCTACCCCGGGGTGTTGTGGCTGACTTACAACACGGTGGACGAGGTTGCGAAATGTGGTGGCTGGGGAGAACAACGACGCTTGGCTCAGACCAACGTATCAAAAGCAGACGCCTGGAGGCATATTTCTCATTACCTATGACGATATAAAAATCTCAGGCTCCCATCTCAAGCTCCCACAATATAAATCGAGCGTCATGCTGGAAACCTCAAGCGTCTCTGGGCGGACTGGCCTCTACTCGTCGTATCTGTCGTTTTTTCTCCAAGGCTGAAGTCAACAGATGTGCCATAGCGACTATATCTGGCATCATCGGTAAGTTCGGGCAAATACGTCTGTTGCCAGTGTCGCTTTCTCCTGGTCCATCGCTTCCCATGCCCTCTTCGGCCCGGGTGACTCTTGCAGTGTCAATTGAGGTGCCTTGTGATGGACAAATACGGCCGGGTTTTCTAGAGACCTTGAATTGCGCGTATTTGCCAATCTTGGAGGTTGTTTAGCAGAAGTTGGATCTCTTGGACGGGATACAACATATCCGAACGGAGGGGATGGTGCGTTTGCCGAATGGCCCGATATGCCACACGAAGACCCCGATGTTCTAACTTCTTATGCCCTAGGGCCCTTCATAAACAACGGCATGTGGCATTTCCGATGCAGAGATGATCCCTTTCACAGCGTTGTCCAGGGACAGGACAGCATCGTTCTTTACATCTCATGCTGTCTCCAATCCTGGGCGCAATCTCCTGAGCTATCGCCAAAACCTCCACGTTGTCGCCTTGGTGTCTTTTCTCACGCAAATCCGAATATTGAAGCCCCAAGACGTGTGGTCACACATCCTCTGATTGGCCGCGCGGTGGACACACACACCCTGGCCATTATCACCTCGTGCAGATTGCAAATAATTCTCCTCACAGCAGTCTCTTTTCACATCATAGACAGTCATATCCCAGAGAAGACCTCGGCACATCAGAGGCGGGGGCGTGCCGGATTAAGCCACCAAGCTTGCGTTCATATGGAAGCGGGTGGGCGGAACAGAGACCAGATGAGTCAATATATAGACTCTCTGACAGACCGGCTGGGTTTGAAATACATAGTAAAAGGTAAAGACTGTGCTCTAATCGATTTCAAGATTCGTCTCTCTGGCTACAGCCATTGCCTTTCAGCCTCGATGTGTGGGAGCATTGACAGAGTAAGGTGTTTCCTTGCCTTCTTCCTGTCCACTCAATTGATCAAGCCTCAAGCCTGAGTCGCCATTCACTGGCTCCTTGCATCTGTTGCATCTGTTGAGGGTCTCTGTGAAAGCTGATTGTCGATCAGTCCGTCCAAAGAGAAGTAAATGAGGGCTCACGTCGGAGCGATGTCACCTTTGAGCTTGCGCCTCCTTTTGTCCCGAACCCACCTGATCGTCGACGCGTTTCGTCCACATCATTGCTAATCTTGCTCACTGCACCCGTCTTGCAGCCTCTCTTCTGTTAGCTCCCCTCAGTGTTGTAACGCGTTCCATATGCTGATTCTTTTGGTGCATATATTGCTTCCTCCGGCTGCCCACAATGTTGTCTCCGTGCCCTGTTTCCTTTGCTCTGTGATGTCATCGCCGAACGAAAAATTGTCGTCGGGGTATGAGTATCTGGGCTTGGTTTAGAGCTCTCTGGTCTCACCAGAGGCTTGGAGGAGTGAGGGAGCACCCCAATGTGTGAACAAAATACTGGAACTATCCTCGTTGAAGTCCTCCCAGAGATCGCCAGAGGTTGTAACAGCGTGAGACATAGCCGGGCGCGGAACATCCTCAATGATTTAGCTCCGAGAACCCTTGACTAGGATTGGATAACCGCGGTGAAGAAATGCTTCTGATGAGAAAGAGAGCCAAGGAGACGAGTTTTCCGGATCAATGTAATCCACATACCGCGTGGCAAGTGAGGATCCCTGGAACCTTTGGCTTTTGCATGATAAAAGGCTCGATTCAACGGGGAGTTACGGCCATTCCCAGCCTAGAGATTACAAACCTTCCTGAAAATTTGTCAGAATTTCTGCTTTGTCGTTCTTCGACACAAGTCCTTTTGATGTAGTCTGGATACATCGAACCAAACACAAGTCCTCCTTGACATGTCAGATTTGGTAATCCAATGCAAAAAGCAGCCTTCCAGCATTGAAATGGCAGGCCGCGACGCAACAGAAGGCAACGTCATAGGCGCTGGTCATATAGACAGACCTACTTAGCGAGGATCACCAGGTTAGTTTAGAAGATGAGATATTTGCGGACTGAGAATGCAGAGAAAAGTTGGTTCTTCGAGGGGACGAGGAAGTGTGTTGCAATGTCGGAGACAAACGCAGCAAAAGCGGATTAAACCGATCAGGGAGACCGATCTTTGACCCCGAGAAAGTTGGCGACCGTAAGGCTCTTGCGAGCATACCTGGAAATATCGAAAGATAAATTGACCGACGTGACATGGTAGAATGCTGTACATACAACATTCTTGATTCATGTAAATGTCAAAAACAACACTATATGCCAATCTAAGCCGTAGCTCACGATGCCTCAACTAGCTTTCTTCCGACATTGAGTTTCTGTTTGTCTTCTGCGCATAGCGGCGGCTCTTCATATACACAGCGCTGGTCACCTTTGAATGAAACTGACACAGTCTAATCTTGGAAGGGGTTACTGGTGCAAAAGACCTGCTTCGAGGGCGGGAGACAGCGGGAGCCTGCATGGGCAAATGGTCCCAAGCAGCAAATTGCAGCGACGGTGTGAACTGAGCAGATGAACCACTCCATTCTGTCAGCATCTTTCAGCTGTGGTATTCCAGGCTTGCTCGGCCAGCCTGTTGCGCTTATGGGGGATATGGTCCTTGATAATGACTGATGGGTGACAGGGACTGACGGAGAATCGCGCTACTTTGGATGATTCCGGGAGAAGGAATGCACTTGTGATGAGCTGTGTGGAAGTGCGCTTTTGTGAAGGCGGCTGCGCCTATTTCTAGCACTGGAAGACCACCATCCAGGAGACATCTGAGGGAGAGGAGGCAAATCCGGAGTGACTGCTGAATAACCCATCCACTGTACTGTAAATGGACAGACAGGACCGGCGTTAAGAACGAGATCTTCCAGCGTAACAATATCTGGCCGGCGATGCCCCTGACGACTGACCGTCTGCCTATCAGAAGGGCAGAACAGTATGAGTGGAGAAAGATAGTACGATTTGTAGTATGTTTAAGGATCAGTCACACGACAAGTGTCATCTGTTCCGCGGAATGAATCATAAGGAACGGCAGATATTCCTGTGGAGGGGTGAGCGTCTATCCTTCAGAGCTGATGTATTTCCCGCTTCAGGTTTTAAGTGTAGCGATTCATGAAGATTGAAGATAGTGCTCTCAGTCCATCTTCTCCCCATCTCTCTACTCCAATTCTTTGAATTCCGCTCCCTTTTAATCCCCAGCGTCAGCCTCTGGTAGAACCAGACAAAGATCTGACCCGTCCTGCAAGCTCATGGCAAGAAAGATCAACTTACGCCTCGATCCGAATAGCTTTGAATGCATATCTTTTGAACAATTCCCCCAAATTTGATGCTATTGCTCTTCCTATGTTGAATACCCACGCAGGCTTTGGTACTCTGTCTGGTAATATTTGACACGGCGAGTTCACCCTCACAAGCTGTCGCCACCTTTCTCTTATTGTGAGCGATGCTGTGTTGGTGATGCAGACTGACAAGTTGAGCCCGGTCTTCGTGGGCATAACACGGATGTGAGTCGGTGCATTGCTCGAAATTAGAATATCGGAACTTCGATAATCGAGGGTGTAAAAGACCCGGGGCATTGGTGTTTTATCGTAGCGGAGCTGGAAAGGTTGCTCATAAGGAGAAGTCAGCTTGGTTACACCATTGACAGATCAGCATGGGGTGCTGAAATACCTATTTTAGTAGAAGGAATCGAAGCAGGGAAGCAAAACATCTTACGGTGATGCGATAATCAAGCCCACGCCGACATTAAGGAATATGTAGGCTGCCCGACTGCGTCGCAAAAGGAATGCAGAGACGAGGCAATTTGGATGCTTCAGCGAGAATGATCTAACTGGGAACAGGAGGCTAGGAATTGTCGCGGGATTGACGTGGTTCGGACATTTGAGAAGACACAAAAGCTTTCCAAAAGAAAAGGGTGTATGATACCGTCGATATGTTTATCTATTTAATGTACAACAACAATAATAGTAGTGACGGTGAAGACAATGCAACAGAGCCGCAAGCAGAAACAGTGCAGAAGCGAGAGATCTGGAATTACGTATGGCAAGCCATGGTGGGATGCAAACGTGTCGTGGTCCAAGTACAACATATTACTTTCGTGCGTAGAGTAGGTGGCGAATTGCGACAAATGTGAGGCTGGGTATCACTATTGGCGATAAGAACAACATTGTTGCCAACATGACCAACATTCTGACCTAAAACCAGCACCAGATTTGTCACACCGACAGCTTCTCAACAGACAATGGACTTCTTCCGGAAGAGCTCATGCTTGAGGGTCCCTGAGTGAAGTCGCCACTTCGAGCATGAGTATCTGTTGGGTTCAGGATGATGTCCAACGAATGTCGCCGGAGGCGGCCGCGGAGTCATGCATGTTGTCTCTTTCTGCTTCTCGTAAGCGTCAGACAATGCCTGGCCGGTCGTCGATAATGCCTTCCAAGCAGGCACGTTATGAATCTAGGCTCATCTTCACCTTTATTGTACCTAGCGATGACGAAGATGTGAACATCAATTTTCCTGTCAGAGTCATACGGCATTGAGAAGGTGCGCCCACAGGCAGCAGATTATAAAAGAAACGTTAGAAGGGAAGAAGGACATCCACCTGCATCATACTTAGGACATACATCAGAGTCCGCATCAAGCATTCGAGACCAACCTACTAATATTATTTGGACGCCTAACCTATTCGAGTCTTCAGGGGATTTCCAAGGTCGCACATTCTCGTTGGGGTTGGACCTGTTGGTCAAGTTAGACTTTGCTGGACGGAAATGCTATAAATGAAATCGCTCCAAGGCGCGCTTTCGGCTCATCGAGTTATGCGACGATCGAAGTCCTAGCGGAGTACGGATGCGGAGATGAATGTGCCCATTGCCGCGGGAAACATGCTGTTTTATGAACATTTCCGCAGACATACTTGCTTTTCTGCCGCCGTTTGATCACTTGAAATTCGTTGTCATGGAAATTGAAGATGGGGTAAGTCAAAATGTAGTTAAAGTCGAACACGATCCATCATTTGATCCGTCTGGGATCAGATCCCAACTGCTAACAAACAAGACATGCCAACCTTCTCAGAAGCTACAATTCAAACAGCCACATGCATCCTCCCAAAACACAAACCAACAACACCCAAGAAAGCCAGTTAATCACACCTGAATGACCACATAAACCCATACTTGCTCAATCAAACCAAAGTAGCTTTTCCCCCTGAAACTCCTCTTGAGCTCGCTTCTCCCGCAGATCTTTGATTCTCTCATGCTCGGTGACGTCAATCCACTTCGCGACCCTCTCCATGTTTTCCAGATGCCCCTGCATCAGACTGTTTCGAGTGCTATCATCGAGCTTTTCGAAGTCGACGCTGACGCATCGACTGATGACTGGGCCTGCGGGCCGCCACTCGTGTGCGATGAGGATGTTGGGAGCTGACGCACTCTGCTGGACAGGAGCCGAGGGAACTGTTGAAGAAGGGATGGCTGAAGACGTGCGGAGGATCCCTGGCGAAATGGACTTGTTGTTTCTTCGTCTTCGGTTTGATGCAGCCTTCCTGGTTTTGATGGGGATGAAGGGATCAAAGGGTCTTCTGCTGATCGGTCGCATCGGTCGCTTGGGGGGGTCCGGTGAGCGTTTACGGGTCGTACGAGGGACCCAGGATGGATCTGCTTCATCGGATGACACGGATATGGCGTAAATTCTGTCATAGTTCACGCTCATGTCGCTAGCGCTGTCATCATGGTCGTAGGGGTCGGAGGGTTCGGAAGGGTCGCAGTGGCCGGTTCGGGGCTCGTCTGTGATGGAACACTTGCTGGATGGGTGGAACTCGGTGATGCCGGGTAGGGAGAGCGGATCGGGGGACTCGTCGCGGGATGTGAAGCTCTCGAGGAGGCTGATAGGGACGGTCTTGATTGGGCTTGACTTCTTCATCGCTTGGGAGGAAGACTGAACGTTGCTAGTATGGGATGCTCTGCACAGGCGTGGCGATCGTGATTACTTACCATGTTGGAGATACTTGGATAAAAAGACAGAACTTCAAACAAAAGGCGGACGTTAGACTTGGTGGCGCGAAGAAGGCGTAAGGGAAGTTGCGGCTGAGATAATGTGAAGTAAGTGTGAAGTAAGTGTGAAGTAAGTGTGGTGAGAATGGTGATGATGGAAGAAACCCTACGTGAGTTTGTGCGTGTCTGTGGAAAAGATCGCGGAGGCAACTTGCGAAGACGCGCGAACGCGACGCGTGGATAATCGAGCATTCGAGGAAGGAACGAGAAATGAACTGTTCGGGGAAGGAACGACCAAGCGAACACATAATTGCGGTTCGTTGAATCCCATTCTCTGGAGGTAAAAAGACAATATGTGACTTAAATCTCAGGCTTCCTCTCTTATCAACCCACAGCACCCCGTTCTAACAGCTGGAGAGCTTTCATTCAGAAACCCAATGTGAAGCTCCTATGTTGAGTCCCGACGTACCTAGCACCAGATCGTTGGATGGCAAATGATGGTCTCATGACTCTGGTGTTCTTTGATGCCGCTGACCCACTATTTTGGTCTGAACAACCGCCCCCCAACTTCAACTTCAGCTGGTTACATGTTTACACCTCAATTTTGCTCCAAGCCGGGAAAATCCCTAGACTTCGCGCTCTTGCTCTCTTTTATGCCGCAGCAGCCTCCTGCGTCTTGTTTTCTTAGGTGGTCATATTACTCATGTCAGAGCCGGCCACATAGGAACGCAGTTATCCTATGTTGATTGCGGCTGAACCTTTATAAGAAAACGCCTGGCTGCCTGGGAGCCGTATGGTCGAGCTCACCACCTCATTAGCACGGACACTACTTTGCTGATTTGCCTGGTTCTGGCAATCGCCTCAACATTCACAGGGCCCCGCTTGTCCTGAGATGGTGTCAAAGACGATGAGATATGAACGTAGGATTACAAACCTGGGTAAATAAGGTAAGGCTGCTTGGCTAAACCCCTCTGCATTCGGTTACATAATCTCGTGGTAGCGAGAGGACAGGCTGATCTATCAAGGTGATTTTATGCTACCGGACTACTAGGTTGTCAGATTGTTGTTAGGTAATAGTAGTCGGGGCGTCCAGCAGTTTTCATGGAGCTACTTTCCGCTTTCTCGAGACATGGAGGGACCTCTCCGTGTGTGCGACAAAAACTCCATCAACTGTTACCAGCCGCTGCAGTGCACCGAGCGTTGACACTGTACACCGCTCTCAGGACACTTGGCGCAAGAGGTGCGAGGTCTTAGAGAATAGAGCTGACTTTGTGGCTCACGCCTTGTGTTGAGAAGTTTCTGGTATTGTGGTCTCGTCGAGTGTGTTTCATTGCATCCCAGCACGCTCTTGGCTGGTTTTAGAAAAGACCATTTTGCTGCGCGGCATCAAACATGGCCATCGGATGGCTTCCGAGCCTGCAGAAGCTTATTTGAAAGCAGCACTGCCCTGTCTTATATGCATCAGAATCTTCCTCTGAGTCTGCTGTGACGGGAAGAGAGTGCTTCAAGGTATGCGGTAGGGACGTTATCAATAGGACAGTCCCGGAAATATTACTGATTTGGAGAAGGCGATGAGAGAAGTAAGGCGGCCGAGTTTGGAACGTTCGGACTTGGAAAGGCTCCATCTGAAAGAATCATGGCGGCGATAGATGGCTGGAATGATCCAGCAGGTAGATCGGAGGAAAGTGTTGGACCAGTCTGTTCCATATATGAGCATCTAAAAGATTTGGAGCAGGCAGCATGAGAACTTCCTGGCGGCTATGAGGCATGAAAAGGGGCCACAAACTCATAGTAGACAACAACGCAATCAAAAGGCATGGTCAGTCATCAGACCGTCAGGTCTGTCGTATGATGAGGGTTTTCGCTAGATGACTGCGACAAAACGCAGAGTGAAGGGCACGGTTGCACTCAACGTAATTCAAGGGGCTTGGGTTGTCTGCAGCCCAGTAGAGCCTGAGCCTTGGAAAGGAAACGAATACTTTGTAGTTTTGGCCCAAGTCCAGACTGATGCCGTTCCTGATGAAGGTCCCAAGAGGCATTCCATATTGACTCGGATGGCAAATGCTACGTTCAGAGGCTCATCAGGGGCAAAGGAGGGTCATCAAGAAGCGGGCAACAGCTTCCGTGATATGTTCAATGCACGCATGCCACAATGGCAGCGTCATTCACAACGAGCCGTGACCTACGACCGGAGTTTGCTCCGCTGCCAAAAGGCTTCAGCAAAGACGCCTTCCCTTGCTTGTGTCATGGGAGAACACTGATTTTCCATGATGAGATATTTGTGCTGAGTATCGGTGGAGGAGACAAGCACAGTGTTCTCAAGGGTGGGCTTCGTACTCCGTTCTCGAAGAAAACTGGATGTCAACGGCAATAGCCGGAAGCATGATCTTAGTCTGACTTGCATGAGACTTGCATGAGACTCGTGGGAAACTAGCTGTCAGACGCGGAGCGAGGTGCTCTTTTAATGACGTCTCACCCTGCATCGCTGCGGATCAGATTGCGCGTATTCCTCGGCTAGACTTATAAACCGAACTGACGCGGAGGCTTGGCAGTTGGAATTGAAAGTAACGTCCCACACCCACTTCTCGGCCACCCCCACATTTCGGCCACCCTAAAATGCCTCATCGAAAATACTCACCGCCATTTTCAAACTTGAATAGATTTACCAATTTTCACTCAATCATCACCATTCTTTCTGTGAAGCATAATAACTACCGAATGCGTCAGTATACAGAAGATGAAATTTCTCAGGCACTTGAGGCTATCGCAGCTGGTGCTAGCCTACGAAAAGCTTCATTACAGTATGGTGTTCCAAGAACAACTCTCCAATCTCGAATCCATGGCACCCAGGCAAGAGATATTGCCTTTTCTGATCTGCAAAGGCTTTCTCCAACCCAGGAAAGCCACCTGGCTGAATGGGTTCGAATTCAGGCTGCCCTAGGCCTGCCTCCAACCCATCAACAACTCAAGGACTTTGCTGAACGCATCCTACAGGTCCATGGAGACTCCCAGCCTCTTGGAAAGAACTGGGTGCAGTCTTGTATTAAGAGAAACCCATCTGTAAGGGTCCAAAGAAGCAGAGCAATCGATTCCCAGCGTATCAATAGAGCTTCAACTAATGTAATCAGGCAATGGTTTAAGCACCTCGCCATACCTGAGATCATAGCTATCAAGGCCTCTAATCGATATAATATGGATGAGACTGGTATTCTAGAAGGCAGAGGATCAAATGGGCTTGTTCTTGGATCATCAGAAACTCGTTCTATCCGCAAGAAACAGCCTGGATCGCGTGCTTGGACATCTCTGATCGAGTGTATCTCTGCAACTGGCAAGGCACTGCCTCCACTTGTTATATATAAGGGCAAGAATGTCCAGCAGCAGTGGTTTCCTCTAGATCTGACGCCATACGAATCCTGGAAGTTCACAGCTACAGAAAACGGGTGGACTTCAGACTCTACAGCTGTTAAGTGGTTAACAGAGGTCTTCATCCCTTCAACGCAGCCAGGGGACCCCTCAGAGGTCAGATTATTGATCTTGGATGGTCATAGAAGCCATGAGACTACTGCTTTTATGTATATATGCTTCAGGAACAAGATACACTTGCTGTTCTTGCCAGCAGACACGTCACACGTCCTTCAGCCACTTGATCAGTCGGTTTTTAGGCCCCTCAAGGCAGCATACAAGAAGGAGCTTGGATTACTAGCTGAATGGGATGCTGGTACAGTTGTGGGCAAGAGAAATTTCGTTGTATGCTATGGTAAGGCGCGTAAGGCAGCCCTGACAAGCAAGAACATCATCAGTGGCTGGAAATGGACTGGTTTGTGGCTTGTCAGTATGGCTAGACCCCTCATGAGCCCTCTGCTGCTTGAGAACACATCAACCCCTGCTAAACCAGCTGGTCAGGTCTGCAAAGGGCTCTCTGATGGTAAAACAAGCGAAAAGTGGGCGGTAGATACATCAGCAGTCCCTTGGTCAACCCCTCAGAAGAGGGATGAGCTTCAGGATCAGTTCAGCCTATTCAGCAAGCTGGATAACGATGAGCATACGCAGCGCCTGCTTTTTCGGAAGGTTCAGAAGGGCTTTGATGAGAAGGCATACCAACTGGCAGTAGCCCAACGAAAGATTGAGGCACTACAGGCAGAGGTTGATGCCAGTAGGGCCAGGAAACGGAAGAAGGTTAAGATGAGCCCAAATTCGAAGTTTGCCGATATTGAGGCTATTCGGAGGGCTCAAATCGAGGCGGGCGAACTTGAAAGTAGCACAGATGAATCCAGCGAGTCAGAAAACCCTAGTGACAGCGAAAGTTGCATCGTCGTGGCATCATAATACATATAAATTTTAGTTGAAGTTGATGTGTATAAATGTGAGGGCATCAAAAGTGAGTGGCCGAAATGTGGGGGTGGCCGAGAAGTGGGTGTGGGACGTTATCAACAGAGATGTTGTATCGATGGGCTGCAATCGACTGTTGATGGAGACTTATCGAGGGGCAGCTAGAATGCGTGAACCGATACATGTGTGCTGGAGGGTTCAATGAAGGGGTGCTGGCTAATGTACCCATCCGGTCTTGCTCCATCATTCCGGTTTGCGAAAACCTGGTGCAGGTAAGGCAATGTCGACAAGAAGCAAGGAGTGGACATGACGAGACGACCTGATTTGAGGTCCTCACCACTACGTAACATGATCTAAAGGTTTCTATCAAGATGCATCACGATACGGCTATTGAAATACTGTGAGAGGACAACACCTTGATGACCCTCTGAGCCTAAAAGGAACCGCTGGAGGCTCGGACGATGAGCTCCGCAGCGTTGTTGCGCACGAGCATCTCATCCGGGGCGGAGATCTCTTCAAGGACAGGATGACGATAAATCAGTTTGTCAACCGGCCCAGCAGAGGTATCTTAGAATAGCTGATGGACTTCATGGTGGTGCT